TTTTGAGAAACTTTTGTAACCCTTAGTGCCAAAAGGAAGCGTTTCCAGACATTGGTGTATTAAGAAAATATGATCACATTGAACCCATCTATCTACCACAGAGCGTTGTAACATATATTTATTTACACTCTGTATAAAAGGTGTGGAATTTCTTAACACTCTGAGCGACTGTTAGCTTCTCAATGAGAATATCTTAGTGTAGAATATACTGAACAGGCCGAAGAAAAAGGGAGGACTCTATTCATCAAGCTCAGGGTAGAGACAAATGGCGATCTCTGGTGAACATTGTAATGAAACTTGGGGCGGAATTTCTTGCTTATCTGAGCGACTAGTAGTTCATTCCTCGAGGAGGACTCTGCTGCATGCAATTCTTTGGCAAGGACTGTACTTTGTAATTTCAAATATATAGCAAACCACTCACTAGTTTCGTCTCTCTCATTTCATGTAACTAGTTCTATGTTTGTCCGCGCTATGGAAGCATAGAACATGTAGCTGAGGAAGGTGTCTGGACCCAAGAAAGAGGAAGTAATTGGGGCCTAGAGAAAATTGCACAACGAATAATTTCGTAATTTTTACTTCTCGTCAAACGTTATTTGGATGAACAACTCAAGAAGGACCAAGAGTAGGAGAAGGATACTGTTAAAATTAATCTTATAGAAATTGGATATGAGGGTGTGAACTGGATCCATCTCTCGCAGGACAGGGACCAGAGAGTGAGTTTTCTGAAGACGGTAATGTACCATTAGTCATGACGTGCTGGCAAGTTCGTGACTACCCTAGAGACTATCAGCTTCTCAAGGAAGACTTTACTCCGGGGAGTTAGTGACTTAGTTAATTGTTATTTACCTTATAACTTTCTTTTCGTTTCTATGTTATATCTACCAGTTTTCGAATATCAAAGCCTATGGGCCTATGTCGTATCATTTCTTCACTCACTCATGGAGCTGAGCCTTTCTTGAGAAGCCGCCAATTTTGCAGCTACTTAAGAATTTCCCAGCATTTTTGGAACCCGAAGGTTCATTATCGTGTTCACAAGAGCCCTACACTGGTCCCTATCCTGAGCCAGATCAATCCAATTCATACCATCCCATCTCTCTAAGATCCATTTTAATATTGTCCACCCACCTACGCCTTCGTCTTCCCAGTGGTCTCTTTCCTTCTGGCTTTCCTAACAATACCCTATATGCATTCATCTTCTCCCCATTCGTGCTAGAGGCCCTGCCCACCTCATCCTCCTTGCCTTATTCTAATTACAGTTAAAGAAGAGTACAAGTTATTAAGCTCCTCATTATGCAGTTTTTCCAACCTCCTGTCACTTCATCTCTCTTCGGTCCAAATATTATCCTCAACAACCTGTTCTCAAACACCCTCAGTCCTATGTTCCTCCCTTAATGTCGGAAACCAAGTTTCACGTCCATGCAGAACCACAGGTAAAATTATAGTTTTGTATATTCTAATTTTCATGTTTTTGGACAGCAGACGAGAAGACAAAAGGTTCTGGACTGAATGGTAACAAACCTTGTCATCTGTTGCTATGCCTAATAACTTTAATTAACTAAACGTGTTTAGGTTGCAGAGTAGTCAAGAACTTTCTATAAAAATATTCCAAATTTTATCGCAATTAAATTATAGATAAAGGGCATCTGCGTCCTTTCCATGTCGACCCTCAAGATGAAGGTAAGGACAATGTCTGCCTGATCGTCTCGCAGGATTTTAGTGCACTCATAACCTGTTATTTTTCTTTGGAGTGAAGGACAGTGTCAGACCCCCACAAAAGAGTTACAATTGTAGTTTTATATATTTTCATCTTTAAATCTGTAGTTTTCGTTTTTCATATGACCTCATCCTCAGTATTTCACCCGTGAGATTTGCTTCAACGCAAAACATTGAGATAAAATTGTAGTTTTGTGCATTATAGTGTTGATTTAGAAGGAGGATTTACATGCTTGCTGGGAAATGCAAGAAGTTATTCATTTCCGGAGTTGATTCTATTTTGTTTTTCATCTCGATTATACGTGTTTCATTTGTTATATCTTTTTATATTATGGAATGCTTGAGTTTCTGTGAAATATAGGCTCCCCTGCTTTACCACATCACCAAACTGTACTGTCCGACATGGAGTACCGAACTGAAAATCGATATGAACTTGGCTGCAAGAGAAGAAATCGGGAAGGGAAGGGAATGGCCGAATACTGTGAGTGGTATTACTTCCGCTTTTATCGGTCATCCCCACAAGACAGTGGGAAAAGGAACATTTAAATTAAATTCCCACACCTCCTACGTTTGTTGGATACAGACATTGATATTATGCATTATGTTTGAACAATTGATACGTAGCAACTATTGTTGTCATTGTCAGTTTTATACTTGATACATTATTATTATTATTATTATTATTGTAAGGCCGCGCCATAGCTCAAGCGGTTAGTCTCTGGCTTCCCACCGCGGCGACCCGGGTTCAATCGCGGGTCTGGTCAAGTGGGATTTGTGATGGACAAAGTGGCGCTGGGGCAGGTTTTCTCCGAGTACTTCGGTTTCCCCTGCCAATCTTCATTCCACCAATTGCTCCACAATCACCCTCACCTATCATCTGGGGCTTGTACAATAGGCCAGAAGTGGCTGCAGTACAAGGGACTTAGTCCCACCCCACTAGCAATAAAGAAATTATTATTATTGATTAAATGTGATAACCTTTTTCTTCTTCTAATTCTTCTGCTGCTGCAATTAAGATCATCTGCTGCACAAATCTTACGTTTGTTCCTTGGCTTATTTAATGACGAGATTTCAGGTGCGTAGGTTACAGAATCGAATGATAGCGGTTTGAAAGATTTCGGATAATGGTCATGGTATGATTTAAGAACTATTTTGTCGTGTGAAAAAAAGGGATGATCTGTCATTGTCCAGCTTGAGGTCTGAATTATATTATATAAGGTTATTTAAATATTTCGGTGGTTGTGAAACCTAATTTAATCTGCATGTTCAAGGGAATAGTCTCGTCAAAAATAAATATGTTTTTCCTCTAAGTATAGTGCCATTTTTAGAATACATTGTCACCAAGTTTATTGAATTAAAATGCATTGTTGAAACATGTTATTAATAAGTATGTTCGTTCCAATCATTTAATTAAAATGTGTTCTAGAACAGATACATAAATGTATTAATTATTAACTGTTAATCATTTAAATGTACGGTTCAGTAAACAGTATCGCCCTAGAATAATTTTTGATAGCTATATATAAGCGTGTTATTCACACGCGCCCACGTTTTAACTTTTTTAATTTGAAGTGTTACCAGAAATGGCTACCTTCAGAAGGTACTGTTTTCATACTTTCCGCGCGCGAACAGGGAGAACCGGAAACGATCTACTAATCCCGCTTTCAGCTTGTTGATTGATCTTTTGTTGGTTTGAGAATGGGAACAGGTATGATTTATGACTCAGTTTTTGTACATACATAACTGTAGAAACAACGTATTTGCTGCATACAGTTGTTTCAGACGCATCAAGTAGACAGAGCGTAGGAACGCTGGCCGAAGCCTGCACATGATGAGGTATTAGCGTGTTAAATTCAGCGTGTGTTTCATGACCGCGATGGTGGTTAGGCCTATCGGGCATCAATCGGGTTGGCAGGCTAGGCAGAGCAGCCGTGCGCAAAAGCGCGCAGTTAGTACGGGTATATAGCTTGTGTTGTATTCTTAAAAGCAGGTGGGAATAACGACTTGAGAATGTTTTTACATCATTGTGTCAGTGTGTGGTATTGCGATGCGTTGTTGTGATATATTTTTAGAGCGATTTAATGTAATTCATGTTTGTGAATATGGCCGCTTTTTTTTGTGCGCTTTGAAGTTTTCTTTGCAGCCATGATGGCTAAGTGAACCTACCGGGTCATAAGCTAGTAGGCGTCGTACTTGGAAGGTCGTGACTTGAGAGAAGGTCGGTGTAATGCGATGTCTTTGTATTTGTAAATGGCATAAATGGACAGTGGTGATTTTTTCGTTTACTACATGCAATTTATTAGACGTATACACTTTATGTAATTTTTTTCTTCAAAATGTGTTTATTATTATCTGTGTGTTTTCCGCGAGACGAATGAATGGCAGGTCAGTGTCTTGTAGTAAATGCCTGCAGTTCCTAAAGAATGGTGTTAAAGACACATTTGTCAAAGATGTGTAATAAATTATTTTTGTATAATCGTTCAACACGGAAATTTGTGTGATTAAGCATTTTAGCCTCATTCCACTTGACATAGTGAAACTTCGTTGTTAATCATATTGTCATAACTGTCAGTTCGTCAAGACTGTTGGTAATATTGATGTGTTTATATTTCGCAGCATAACACACCTAATAAATGAAAATTTTTAAGACGTTTTACTGATGTGTCTAATCAGATGAGAAAATATGAACATGTGAGCAAGTTATGCATTAAAATAACGTAGAATTCTCACGACTTCTGAAACCGTTCAGTGCTAGTATCGGTTTATTTACTATATGAATTTTACCGTATTTAAGTAGTGTAATTTTCGTGTACAGAGCTTTTTAAGAGTCACTTGAACCTTGCTGTAAGTAGATTTAAGTTGCTGTGGTTGCCGTGTCGGTTTAAGAGAAATGGATGAACGTTTTTCGTGTTAAACGTTATTGATTACGAACTGTGTGCCGTTGCTTACCATGCTTAACCGTGTATAATGATTACAAAGGAATGTGTGGTGTATTAAAAAACATTTTGTGAGTTTGTCGGTTTACTTTGTTTTTAAAATTTTGAAATGTATTGGGTGTATTTGTTTTTGTGAGTAGAAGTATAATGAGCTCATGCCTACATTTATTATTTACCTATCCAATGTATGTATTAATTTTCAGGTTAAAGTGTGTGTGTGTGTGATTGAGTGAGTGACATAGCAGTGATATAAAAATAACAATTAAATACAATTTTTTGTATTTTGAAGATAATGTTAAATGACCTGTTTTGTATTCGTTGCTAAGAAGTTGTTTCTTCTGAATGTTTCAGGGGCCGAGCCAGAGAAAGAAGAAGCACTCCGGAGAAGAATAATGTCAGGTAATAGGACTGTGCAGTAACAAAAATATTGACCTGGAAATAAAACAGCCATTTCACAACTGTGCAAGACGGCGGATGCCTGTGAAACCAAGACTGCTGTGTCACGACCCGATGCTTTGGTGAAGCTTTTGTTGGCCCAGATGGGAGAGGTGTCAGATCCTGAACAGCAGTATAGTCTGCGCTGGAATGACTTCCATGCCAGCATCCTGTCATCCTTCCGTCATCTGCGTGACGAGGAGGACTTTGTGGATGTCACATTGGCGTGTGATGGTTGTTCCTTCACTGCCCACAAAGTGGTTCTCTCCGCCTGCAGCCCGTACTTCCGAAGACTTCTCAAGGCAAATCCTTGCCAACATCCCATTGTGATTTTGCGTGATGTCAAAGAAAAGGACATGGAATCACTCTTGCGCTTTATGTACAACGGTGAAGTGCATATTGGCCAGGAGCAGCTGTCTGACTTCCTCAAAACTGCGCAGATGTTGCAGGTTAGAGGACTTGCTGATGTCCCCACCAAAGACAACCAAAAAGTTCCACCTGTGAGTATAATTTGTTCATATTGTGAATTCAAAGAAATGGACTGTAGTTTGGATCATGTTTACATTCTTCCATATATAGTCACAAAGGTTTGAAACAGATGATTTCAGTAGAATTAGAAACTTGAACTGGTGAATACAGTGATGTGTTGCTCTAAATGCAATGTATCTGAGATGGCCCTGAGGGATTGAATGTGTTTCAACTTGGGTAAAATATAAAAAAGTGTGGTTTTAATTCTCTGTTACAAAACCTGGTAAATGCCTATAAATGTTACTAGATGATGAAAACCACTAATGTAAACTACACAGATCCAAACTGATTGAACTCATATATTCTTAATTATCTAGTAATATTTATGGGCATACATCATGTGATGTGTTGGGGAATTGACATACTGTTCAGTATTTTAAAGTTGATGTGCTACTAAAACTGACAAAATTCTAGGTTTCTAGTCCATACTTCCCATTTTTCATTAAGTTTGTGGGTAATGATGGAATTAAAAATTAGAACCTAGAGATTTGTTTGTGTCATTGAAATATTGGGCTGTTGGCAGAGGCCATTGAAATTTCTTTTTTGTGGGATTTAACTGAGCTGAGTACCGTACCCATGATATCAAAATTTATTCTTTCAATAGATGAACAGTATTTTCTGTTCCCTAATTATTTTGGGATCCTGTTATCCTAAGCCAAAAGAATGTTTTGAGTGGAAGAAAATTTGTCAGCTCAAATCTGTAAAATATTAACAATCAGCTAATTGATCACCTGTATATGATATTGTTTTTCGTTGCACACGGTAGCAGTGTTGGTTGAGGCATTGTGCTATAAGCTGGAAGGTCGTGGGTTCAATTCCCGATGGGACAGCCGAGGACCTACAACCTTACCGCCATCTGTGAGCCAGTTGTATAGAGAAAATATGGGAGCCTCTGCGTCTCACGCCCCTATGGGCCTCCACGGCCACTTACAGGGATAGCATTACCTTTTTTTTTTTTTTTTTGCAGCATATATATTCTTACTTGAACATACATTTTAAGAATAATTCATAGTATATTTGAAACTTACAATGCAGTGAAGTTCTTGTACAAGAATCATGACAATACAGATACACGTACATGGAGGCTTGTGACATATGAGGTTATATGCTTCTGTTATATAGATTTTTGGTTATTAAGACTGACTGTTCATGGCTGATTAATGTGTGATCAGACATAAGTATATGATTAAGTGCCTGATACCCAAGTATGTGGATAGCAAGCCTTTTTGTTGCCTAGTGTCAAATTTACATTGGAAGCTAATTACTAAAACAGAATGGTGCTGTCCACGTATGTTGCTGCAATGCTGTAGTTGAGCTTAGTGAGATATCTGCTGCTACACATTTATTAGATAGATCTTTTGGTTTTTGTGGCTAACACATAAAAGGTAAAGCTATCCTTGTAACAGGCAGTGGAGGCCCATAGAGTTGTGAGATGTTGAGGCTCCCACATTTTCTAGACAATGAACTCACAAATGGTGGTTAGGTTGTCAACGTTATGTGCCAGCCACTCTTTAAGCCCCAGGAAGATTCCTGGTGCTTATTTCTGTTAGAAGCTGAGTCAACCCCAGGGACATAGTGGGGCTGGAAGGATTCGGTCAACTAAAAAATCCAATGACCTCATGAGGAATGAAACCCATGACCTTCTGGCTTGCAGCATAATGCCTCAACAAACTACACTACCGTGGTGCCCCCCCCCCCCGAGAGAGCAACACATAATACATGTATTTTATTTACAAGACAGGTGTCTTAAATTTGGCTTTAGGCATGTCAGTTTAAAATAATTGATGGCATTATACAGTGTTCAGTTTCTGTAGCTATATTTCTCTGAGTAACCACACTGCTCAGTGTGGATATCTAAAGTTACAGCAAAAGTGTATCTTACATAAATGAAATATGAGTTGGTGAACTGTTGAATTATTAAGTTGTACCAGGTGATAATATAGTCAGAACCTGTAATCTCTGGCACCAGCCAATATCAAAGTTGGTGCCAGTGGTTCACCACTTCTGCCCTAATATAGACAGAACCTGTAATCACTGGCGCCAGCCAATATCTAAGTTGGTGCGAGTGGTTCACCACTCCTGCCTTAATATAGACAGAACCTGTAATCACTGGCACCAGCCAATATGTAAGTTGGTGCCAGTGGTTCACCACTTCTGCCCTAATATAGACAGAACCTGTAATCACTGGCGCCAGCCAATATCTAAGTTGGTGCGAGTGGTTCACCACTCCTGCCTTAATATAGACAGAACCTGTAATCACTGGCACCAGCCAATATGTAAGTTGGTGCCAGTGGTTCACCACTTCTGCCCTAATATAGACAGAACCTGTAATCACTGGCGCCAGCCAATATCTAAGTTGGTGCGAGTGGTTCACCACTCCTGCCTTAATATAGACAGAACCTGTAATCACTGGCACCAGCCAATATGTAAGTTGGTGCCAGTGGTTCACCACTTCTGCCCTAATATAGACAGAACCTGTAATCACTGGCGCCAGCCAATATCTAAGTTGGTGCGAGTGGTTCACCACTCCTGCCTTAATATAGACAGAACCTGTAATCACTGGCACCAGCCAATATGTAAGTTGGTGCCAGTGGTTCACCACTTCTGCCCTAATATAGACAGAACCTGTAATCACTGGCGCCAGCCAATATCTAAGTTGGTGCGAGTGGTTCACCACTCCTGCCTTAATATAGACAGAACCTGTAATCACTGGCACCAGCCAATATGTAAGTTGGTGCCAGTGGTTCACCACTTCTGCCCTAATATAGACAGAACCTGTAATCACTGGCGCCAGCCAATATCTAAGTTGGTGCGAGTGGTTCACCACTCCTGCCTTAATATAGACAGAACCTGTAATCACTGGCACCAGCCAATATGTAAGTTGGTGCCAGTGGTTCACCACTTCTGCCCTAATATAGACAGAACCTGTAATCACTGGCGCCAGCCAATATCTAAGTTGGTGCGAGTGGTTCACCACTCCTGCCTTAATATAGACAGAACCTGTAATCACTGGCACCAGCCAATATGTAAGTTGGTGCCAGTGGTTCACCACTTCTGCCCTAATATAGACAGAACCTGTAATCACTGGCGCCAGCCAATATCTAAGTTGGTGCGAGTGGTTCACCACTCCTGCCTTAATATAGACAGAACCTGTAATCACTGGCACCAGCCAATATGTAAGTTGGTGCCAGTGGTTCACCACTTCTGCCCTAATATAGACAGAACCTGTAATCACTGGCGCCAGCCAATATCTAAGTTGGTGCGAGTGGTTCACCACTCCTGCCTTAATATAGACAGAACCTGTAATCACTGGCACCAGCCAATATGTAAGTTGGTGCCAGTGGTTCACCACTTCTGCCCTAATATAGACAGAACCTGTAATCACTGGCGCCAGCCAATATCTAAGTTGGTGCGAGTGGTTCACCACTCCTGCCTTAATATAGACAGAACCTGTAATCACTGGCACCAGCCAATATGTAAGTTGGTGCCAGTGGTTCACCACTTCTGCCCTAATATAGACAGAACCTGTAATCACTGGCGCCAGCCAATATCTAAGTTGGTGCGAGTGGTTCACCACTCCTGCCTTAATATAGACAGAACCTGTAATCACTGGCACCAGCCAATATGTAAGTTGGTGCCAGTGGTTCACCACTTCTGCCCTAATATAGACAGAACCTGTAATCACTGGCGCCAGCCAATATCTAAGTTGGTGCGAGTGGTTCACCACTCCTGCCTTAATATAGACAGAACCTGTAATCACTGGCACCAGCCAATATGTAAGTTGGTGCCAGTGGTTCACCACTTCTGCCCTAATATAGACAGAACCTGTAATCACTGGCGCCAGCCAATATCTAAGTTGGTGCGAGTGGTTCACCACTCCTGCCTTAATATAGACAGAACCTGTAATCACTGGCACCAGCCAATATGTAAGTTGGTGCCAGTGGTTCACCACTTCTGCCCTAATATAGACAGAACCTGTAATCACTGGCGCCAGCCAATATCTAAGTTGGTGCGAGTGGTTCACCACTCCTGCCTTAATATAGACAGAACCTGTAATCACTGGCACCAGCCAATATGTAAGTTGGTGCCAGTGGTTCACCACTTCTGCCCTAATATAGACAGAACCTGTAATCACTGGCGCCAGCCAATATCTAAGTTGGTGCGAGTGGTTCACCACTCCTGCCTTAATATAGACAGAACCTGTAATCACTGGCACCAGCCAGTATGTAAGTTGGTGCCAGTGGCTCACCACTCCTGCCTAATATGGACAAAACCTGTAATTACTGGTGTCAGTCAATATTTTAGTTGGTGCCAATGGGTCATCTTCTCTTCACCAATGCAGCATTATAATATTACTTCGCATTGGAAATTTGTTTGTCAGTTGGTATTATATCCCTAAAACTTCTGTGAATTAACAGTTATTACCATCACCGGTGAGGGCACATGGTAGCATAGTTGGTTGAGGCACTGTGTTACAAGCCAGAAGGTCGCAGGTTTGAGCACCAATGAGGTCGATTTTTTCAATTTACCTAAACCTTCTATCCACACTATGGCCCTGGGGTCAGCTCAGGCTCTAGCAGAAATGAGTACCAGGAATTTTCCTGGGGAGTAAAGGGTGGCTGCCGAGTAAGGCTGACAACCTTACCACCCTCTGTAAGCCAATTGTCTAGAAAAAATGTGGGAACCTCGATGTCTCACAACCCTATGGACCTCGACGGCCTGTTACAGGGATAGATTTTTTATCATCAGTGGTGTGTAGTGCATAAACTCATTGTTTCTATGCACATAACTTTATTTACAAAAAGATATTGACAACTACAAATATTATTGCTTGCCCATCATTAGCTTCTGATGACCTTGTTTGTTTTTTGAGGCTTTTAAGTCACTAATAATGAGGTAACCTCTTTGATGTTTCCTTTTGTTATATTATGGTCATAGAGAAGTCATTTTGAGATTTTGGTGGAGGAATGCACATGTGATGCCATTGTTGGGATGCTCTCTGACTTGTGCATATAATGTAACTTCAAAATTTTTGTATGAAGTCTCAGACACAAATAGTGAGTTTGTTAGAACTGTCTGTAATGATTTTGATTAGATTTGCACACTTAATGGAAAGCTGTGTGTCTTAAATATGTGACGAGTAATTATAACAGTCAGTAGCATTAAAATTCCTGGGCTGTTTGCCTTAGTTTCAAAGACATTGGTATTGTGCATTTTGGATCTTTGTTGCCAGTTTGCTTTTATTTTCAATTAATATTTCTTCCCTGTGATGCCTCTGATACTGATCTAACTGCTTGAGTTGAATTTACATGAAGGATATTTGTTTTGTTGATGATATTAAAAAGATTATAATTTTAACATTTATAAAAAAACTCCATGATTTCAGTCTGCAACAAACAAAGAAAGTGTATTTCATTATTAGTTCAGTGGATACCTTTGTGACTCACCGCAGTTGTTTTCTGCCTCACAGTACATCCGCATATCTCATCAGCTGACCAGTGTCTGTAACTGTAGGCAAATTATTTGCTCGTAATATACTCGAGCAGTGTCGTAGACCAGACCTGGATGCCGAGGTTATGGATGATATCCTGGGAATCTCATATACAGTTATCCACAGTGATGAGAATTCCAGTTTGTCTTAGGATGGTCGGAGAATAGGCTAGGAGAATTGCAGTTTGTCTTATGATGGTCGGAGAATAGGCGAGGAAGAAATGAAGGGATGCATATGAATGTGAAGGTTTTTGGTTTACTAGTGATCGCGGTTTGGTTTTAGAAGCAGGTGACAATGATTATGAGGATGCTGAAAGCAATGGTAAAGATAAATATATCACTGAGTCATCATTGTATTAGTGTTCTATCAGATAATGCTTCTTGTGGCAACTTTTATGGGAGGAACAGGTTCAGATGTCCACCAAAAAAATGTTATCAGATGATCTAGAGGCTAGTCTATAGATTCCATAAAGAAATAATTCTCATGTTTGCAGATTTTAATTTGTAAAACAGTCAAAATAATTAGTAACCCCTGCACATGGAGATCAGAATGTAAAATCAGTGACATACATATTACCCACAGTCTTGTATTACACGAGTTCTGGGGAAAAAATGAATTTCATGTAGAGAAAAAACAACAGAAAAAGAAAAATTGTTACACCTTGATAGAAGAAAAAAGGAAAACTACATAAATCATGTATGCAGAAAACCTATAAATTTGGAATGTACAGTAAATACTATGTATATAAAGTATATGTCATCCCTAGAAGAAAGAAATGTAATTATCAATTTGACAAGAGTGTTGAAACTGGGTGGAATCCAGACTGTTGATGCCTTGGGAGTGCAAGAAAGTTAGTATTAAAAGAACTTTCAATTTTGTTAATTTTTTTTCCCCCCAAATATAAATATAACTTCCGTTTCATCTGTTCAAATATGATTTCAGTGTAAAACTTTTTTTCAGTATTTCATATTTGCAAGAAATCATTATATTATGCTGTGCAGTAAGTATATAAAAATAAATATGTACGAGTATATGCAGTTCTGTCCTGAACCTTAATGATAAGTAAAATATGCAAGAAACATAAAGAAGGATTCTAGGTCATTGTTGTGATTAATGAAATTTTAATGGGCAAAAATGTATGTCAGTCTCCCAGACTGGATGTGGGTAATAGTGTCCCTGAAATAAATCCGGGATACTTGAGGGTTAATGATGCTTGGATCAGTGGATACTTGAGACGTCTGGCTCAAAGGATTCTGGTACATGAATGCACAGGGACACATCTTGATACTTGTTAAGTGATATAAATATTGTGTTTAAACGAAATCATAGAAGATAAAATCTTAGAAATGAAAAACAGAAGGAAATGAAATTTCGGAAAAGTGATTTAGAGAGAATAATTGTTATGCTGACAGTAACTTCATATATCTTACTCAGGGGACAGAAAGAAGTCTGATAAACCTGATAATTTCTTTCTGTTATGCATCTGTTAGCAGAGTATTCTGTTCTTGCGTAGTCGATAGAGAAAAAAAGATGACGAGTCAGAAATCTTTGTCTGAAAATAGAGGACAAGTGATAGTATGATTGCTGAGAAAATTCAAAGAGAAATTATCTATAATAAAAACCACTTATTTTTTAGCAATTATACGTACAACACAAAACATTTCAAAAGTAAATGAAATAAATAAAATATTTTAATATATGAAAATAACCACTAATTGTGATGAACTTCATTTCAGCTTTGAAATTAGGGTATCATGGAGGCCATTGATATCCACAGTAGTACGTAAGGTCTGAAAGATTTGTTAGGACCAAATTTATAGCAAAGACAAATAAAAACTAATATTCCTGTATTTTAATATTGTTACATATTGGCCAAATAGAGCCAAGTGTCGGTGATTTCAATGTGAGCATGTTTTAATTTCTAAATCTGAAATGAAGTAAGTACATGGGAGATTTGAGCATACATGGAAATAGATCCGAAAGAAATATGGTGTGAGGTATGGTGTGGACTGAATGAAACTGGCTCAGAAAATGGTCTAGTGGCAGCAGAGTTTAATACAGTAATGAATCTCTGAGTTCCACAGAAGACCAGATGAGTTCCCCCCCCCACCCCACCCCCTAGAAAAAGACACTAGGAGTTATATGTGCACTATCTCCTGCTTAATTAATTAGTTCAGAATGATAAGGAGAATTTTGTTTCATAAATTTACTTTTGAGTTCAGTATTGAGTACAGTAAATGAATGTTCATATTGTGTTCTTCTGGATTATGATGCCATGTAATTTGGAAGAGGGGTACCAGTATTTCAGATGAACATACTGCCTCAAACCTCAGACCATTGCAGTGTGAGGATAGAGGCAGCCTGTTCCTTCAAGAAACACTGATCATTATATGCCATATTGGTGTCATATCTCAGAAGACCACAGCATAGGTCTTCAGTAATGTGAACTCTGCAGACCCCTAGCCTCAACACGCTCTTCTTCGGGGCTGTCAATGGAAAAGTCAGTAGGGTAAATGAAGTTTGCACATGTTTGTAGAATGTCTGGATCCTTAGAGAATAGTTCATATATGTTTGGCACGTGTTCCACTGTTAGACCAAATTTTCTTAATTATAATTATGAACACAGGTTCTCTTTAATATTGAATGAGAATATGTCAGTTTTATATGATCTTCAGGAGAAGTAGACAAAATCTGTAGAAGTTTACCAGAACATTAACTTGGTGGAAGGGGTTCTTAATTCTTGATTAATTCATCTTACCAGGAGTGATAGCAGACCACCGTTGAAGCAGCAAACAGTATCAGAGTCATGGCTGCTGCAATATTTGACTGTAGAAGGTACCTTTATTCATTCTAGAACTGCAACTGATATCACTGTCAAGTTGTTTGCTCGTGTCCGTTGCGTTTAATAGCTTCTGGGTTTGAAATGGGGCTGGAGGTTTGTTACCCTGACAGATTTTTCATGGGTTTCCCCAGTTCCTGAAGGAGAATGCTGGAATAACTTAAAATAGGCCACAGTCGCCTTCTATCACATCCTTTCCCATTCATCATTCAGTCATCTTACCATTCATTACTGCATAACCAGTGTAGTTGGGGAAGCATAATTAAACTCCGTGTACTGTAGTCCACAAGCGAAGTATACCGACTGAGTGACCTCCGCTTGTCAGCGAAGTTAGTGCCAACTTTTGTGGATAGAGGGTATCGTGGTCAGCACAAGAGATCCCCATGGCCATTAATCTTGGTTTTCTGGACCAGACCCACTGTTTCCTTGAAATAGCTCCTCAGTTATCCTCATGAGGCTGAGTGGACCCCGTTCCAGACCCACTACTTCTCAGAAAATCTGGTAGCACTAAGAATGGAACCCGGGATCTGTAGCCATTAACTCTGACCACTAGACCACAGAGGCGGTCAGAAGCATAATTAAATAATGAAAATTTTTAGTCATAGACGCACTGTATATACCAGCATATAACACACCAGTGACTAATCCACATAGCCATAATTCTCATTTTGTGAGGACATGGAATAACATCTGTTGAGAATATTGAACGCTTGGGGTACTGTTTTGCGGCAGTGACAGAATTGTGTACCAAGAATTTATCCCCCAGTCAGTATGTGAATAGACAGTTCTGTACAGCATTATCTGTGACATTGATGAAAGCGGAATGGAGAAATTTTTACTCTGAATACTGTGGCTTGGGCCTGCAAGATTTTGACAAGGAGATTGAGTTCTGTTATTAATATTTTCAGACCTCAAATTCACTTCCCTGGTCACAGTCAGGGGAGTTGAGAGAAAACTTTCCTGAGGAACCTCTTTCACCGCCTCCAAAACGAAGTCGAAATAATGAGCATCGCTTCTCGCCATCCCCAGCTTCATCTGCAACCACCACCAACAACAACAATAACAACAACAACAGTAGTGACCCATTAATGAGAGAAACATTACTAGGACAGGCACTGGAGGGCGGACCAACAATTCACACAGGCAGCTCCTCTCATCAGGTAAGATATGAAAACATTTTTACAGACTGATTAACATGATATAAGTGAAAGTGAATTTGGATTATTTTAAAAATAATTCTTCCTCTGAGCTCTATTACAGCAGTCCCTTGCCAGCCATGGGGGTTATTTTCATTAGAAATCTCTGTGATTATCAAAACCACAGTTGACAGGACCAAGGCCTTATAGGAAACTGGCAGAACAGTCATGAAAGCCTAACTACATTGCCTCTTCCATCATGAAATACATGATACAGTACTTGAAAAATAAATTAAATATCTGTATATAAAACCCTAACTCTTGCCATTTTGTCATTACTCCGATGTTGTGTAGTTGTCAGAGTTGTTAGCAGTTATGAATAGGATTGCATTGCATTGCAATTTTGGCTTTTGCCTGAGAGAAAATATTGCATTGTTGATTGAGTTTGTATTTTGTATATTTCTAATGTATTAATATTTGAATGGAAGGGTTGACTGAGGAAACTGTACATAGGGATTGGAATAATTTGTCTCAATGATTCAGCCTAGTTGTGGTGTTTGAGGTCATTCAAGATAATGTGTGGCTATGTGTTAATGCAAGGGAGTATCACAGCATGTACATGGAGAAAACTGGAGCGTGTTTTGGTAATATCAAAGTAATAGCTACTGATGTGTAAATAATGACATATGTAAGTTGTTTGTTCTGTTTCTTTTTTCTCCCCCTGCTGAGAGCCTAATAACTCAATCACTGACTTACAGTTAAAGTTGTTACTGCAAAAGAAAGAAGAAAAAGACATTAAATTTATTTGAAAAGGCTTGCTTTAATAGGCAGCCTATGTCAAAACTATATCCTATAGATAGCAGCATCATTTGGTTCATACTGTAATTCTGTCAAGTTCAGCATATGGGGGAAACCTTTTGTTAACACTCATCTCAGTATTGATGATTGATGGTTTAAATTTCGGGAAGTGCTAAAATCATAAGCTTAATGCTTGCAGTGTACTTTATCCTCAATTGGAATACTGAGCAAATAATTTAGCTAAAATACTAAGAAATGTATAAACATTTTTATAGCCTATAATTTGCAGTATCTGAATATATACAGCATTATGATGTGAGATAAATCATTTATCAAACACCGTGACATTTTTTTTGCATAGAGTGTCTTTTCAGTTCTTGAAACTTGGATTTTTTCATGTTTGTGCCTTCCTTCCCTCACATCCCATTGGCCCACACTGATCTGCATTTTTTCAATGATGTGGTTGTTTTTTTGAGTATTATATTCACAGTTCATATTATAATCTGAATTGTCTTGGCAAGGAAATGTGAGTCCCTGTGTGTTGTTTGTCAGTGCCTGTAATATGTTGAGTTTTTCTTCAGAGGAAGTTATTTATTTATTTATTTATTTACATTTATACATTCGGTTGATCCTAATGGTACAGCTGACCAGTTGCTTAGCTTTTCTCTTTTGTGTTACCACCTTGACTTGTGAAACACACAAATTCATATAAAACAATTGCAATGCATGAAGCAAACTCATCTAACAAATTAAATAATAGAAGATTGAAAACTTGAAAACAAAGTTGATCTGTCCAAAAAGAAAAATGGTACAAACTCTTGAAATTCAAATGAACTGAAATCTATTTTGTGGGAACTAAAACCGTTGAAATTGTAGGAAGATTCATGGGACTGCAACAGTAATGTAAATAGGAGAATGTAAATACAATATATTACTGTAGCGATGTAAATGTAATTGTCTTTTGAGAACTTTTGAAATTGTGAAGGTGGGTGTTTTTGACAACATTTATTTTGAACAGTTTCCTATTTAGATTTCAATGACGTTTTGCTAGTAAAATATAAAAACGTGTCAAAGAGGTGCTCTGCAGATGTAATGTTGTTGGTTCGGTTTTGGAGTTACTATAGTTCTGCCAGGAAACTTGAAACTCTTGGTGCAGGAGCCGCAGGTTGTTTCGATGTGTACGCAACTGTAAATCCCAAGGGCTGTACTGTAGTTTTCCAAAACAGGATGTGAATAGAAAACCATGGGTACTTTAAATTTGTTGTTGGCAAGGGATTGCTGTATTTCCAGTGCGCTGAACTATATTAAGAGCCTATTTACAAATAACGACCGCCTCTGTGATCTAGCGGTCAGAGTTCCTGGCTACAGATCCAGAGGCCCGAGTTCGATTCCCGGCGCTACCAGATTTCCTGAGAAGTAGTGGGTCTGGAACGGGGTCCACTCAGCCTCGTGAGGATAATTGAGGAGCTATTTGAAGGAAATAGCGGCTCCACTCTAGAAAACCGAAGTTAATGGCCGTGAGGATTTGTTGCGCTGACCATGCGACACCCTCTATCCACTAAAGTTGGCACTAACTTCGCCGACAAGCGGCGGTCGCTCGGTCGGTGTAGTTCGCTTGTGAACTGAAGTCACGGAGTTTGTCATTTACAAATAACGCGTTATTCACAACCAAAAAATTTACACATGAATTTTTAAGTTGATTTTGAAATTTAAGAGTCACGAACAGAGAAGAAAGTTGTACTGAACATCATGGTTGAGTGGATAACACTCTTAGTTTGTATTTTGGAAGTCCTGGGTTCAGTTCTTGAACTGAAGACTGTCTGTCATGTCCCATGGGGATGGTACCTTGAATTAGGTTGTTAATGTTTATTCCACGTCCTTTTCAGGTATTGTTTAAGCACCGTACCATTCAATGCTCTATAGCCTTAGCTACAGACAGCATTATCAGATAAAGCATAAATAAAATGAAAAAGGAAATCACTTCATTCTTCTTGAATTCGTATTGGATTTTCCAAATTCAACCAGCCCTTTGGAAGAACTATGAAGTTAACCTTTTTGCTGTTGTGTGAAATTCTTCATTTAGCAGTGCTGTGCGTTTGCTTTTATCCGAAGATTGCTATTGGTAGAATATTTTATTTAATACATCACAGATCCTTTTACTTGAATTTCTGTTTTTGATACTTCACCTGCAGCTACTTTTGAATTGAAACTGGTCACCCTTCTGCTGATTTAGAGTTTTGTTAAAGTAGTAAGTTACACAGTCTTCTTTTGATTGTCAGATGTGTTAGTCATTCTGAGCCGGAACAAACATACTACATTTTCATAGAGTTAAAGCAAATTTGTAATTGTTTGCCTACATTTATTTTATCACAAGTATTTTGCCCTTTCTGAACACCATGAGTAGCTGCCTTTATCGTCATCTATTTTAATATAGGTCTGTTTTTGCCTAGGACTTGTTTGTGACTTACACTAAAATAATTATTTAATAATACTGATAAGAAAATGACTGCAGTACTTGCCATCAGGAAGTGAGATGGACTTAATTAACTTTACCAGAAAAATTGCAAAATTAATATACCATATCAACTGGCTCCACAACCATATGTGAGCCTTGGCCACCTGCACCAACAGCCTCCAAGCGTCCATGCATCACAGTGGATCTCCAGTTTTTAGCTTTCAGTATCCTAAGGTCTTCTCTGACATCATCAGTCCACCTCAATTTTGGTCTACCTCTTGCTCTTTTAGTATAGATCTTCTCATACAAGATTTTCCATGGCATTCTGTTAGCATCCATTCTTTCTACATGTTCCAGCCAGTTATTCTCCGCTGCTCTTTTTGTTTTATTGGCCCACATATTATCCTAATAATTTTTCTTTCAAATCTTAAATAATTCTCATCCTCTTTTTAGCACCCATGTCTCACTGTTATGTGTTACTACAGGACATATGAATGTTTTATGTATTTTCATATTCATGTTTATATCCTTAGATTTTAGTAACTGTAGGTTGGCATAATATGCCTTATTGCCAGATTGTATTCTTTCTTGTATGATTGCAAAATTAATGGTGGGAAGAAACATGTTATGCAGGAGGTCTTAGCGTATTTAAGGATGAGTAACCACACATTGTAGCGTCACAACACTTTAACCTCTGTCACTCAGGAATAGGGGAAGAAGGGAAGATCATGTTTCACTCACTCCCATGGAGTTTTTGGCACAACTGTTAGCTGCAAAGAACATGACACTGGTGTTTTCGTATTTGGATGGACCTTCGCTTGTGAACAGCATCCCATAAGGTGCAGTAATCACTGGAGGTGTTTATGCTGCTATACTTTGGAAATTATAGGAGGCCATAAGAGATAAACAATGATGGATGGTGTGTTGCATCTTCATGACAGTACTACTGCATGCAAGTCAAGGAAAGCTGTGGTTGATCTAAAGGACTGTGGCATTGAGGAAGTAAACCATTCCCTGTACTGTCCGAGCGCAGTAATTATTTTCAGTTCCAAAACATGAAGAAACACTTGTATGGACATCAGTTAGTCTGTGATGAACTTCAGTGTGCTGTTCACAGTGACTTGATGACCAAGACAAAGGCTTCTCTTTTTCAGGATTTTCTTTTCTTTGGGTGGACTGGAGGAAAGGTGTTGAACTCAAAGAATAAGCCACGAAAACATGTTCATTCTGCTTCAGTTACATAGCTAGATGGTTTATATGAATATATATAGTGTTCCTTTTATTTATCAGGTCCTACAAGCACACCAAATGTAATTAAAACCCAAGGCGGTCATGTGGCGGCTGCCTAGACTACTAATGTCATAATATTAAAATCCTACATCAGTTGTACCTTGCATAATTTTTATACTAGTTTATTTGATGTCTTTTGAAGATATCATTATTTTTTATCTGACAGAACAAGGGTAACTCGGACTCTTCACTGCAAGCCCAGTCAACAGGTGAGGAGAGCAACTCTAGCGATACAAACTCTGAACGAGGAGCATCCACGTTAGATTTGATTAGACCCAAGTTGGAGCCTAATGATTACAGCTCGTTGGATGACAGCCATCACCATCATGGCAATGGTGGTCTGGGATTGGATCCAACACGAACTTCCTTTCCTGCTGCTGCATTGCTTGGACTTCAGAGTAAGAGCCATGTATATACTAGTAACATGTCTGTTGCCTGCAAGTGGTGAAAATGGTTTTGGCTTTTATCTGCAGTAGGTTGGACTTGCATTGTGCAATCTGAGGTATTGTTATCCTAATTTAAACACCCTGATAACTTTTTGTAGCTGTTACAATGAATGAGGTGTGGTCATTTTATATTTAATACGCTGTGCAATATTTGTATGACAGTTAGTAGCATTCACAGCAAGTCATTTCTGTCCCCTTTACCAGGAACAGTCCTCTTTATTACAGATAGTACAGAGTGGTCACAAATTCTTGTTTACCTCTAGTAGCACTGAAGCTGTTGTTCACGGAACGTTGTGTTCTGGTGAGAGTGACCCACACTTTTATAAGGAATTGGAACATAATCCTCCACGTGTCATGGTATGGGCTAGGATCGATAGCAGATGACTGGATCATGTCTTTCTGATGGCCCAGATGGGATGTTTGTACATTTTGCTATCACTGAAAGGGAATACATCAGTGAGGTTTTCCTTGAATGTGGGCCACCTCTTCTTCCTGCACTTGGTTGGCCATCTCATAGTCCTGATCTGTCAATTCTCTCTTGGGCTGCATAAAGAAGATTGTCGCACGGCAGGGTTACAGAGTCACTGATGACCTCAAAGAAGTAGCAAAGTTTGTTTTTCATCATGTCACACCTCAAATGCTTCTGCAAGTGTCCCATAGAATATGGTGGAGAATTATTCTCTGTTCTGAGAATGGTCACCAGCAGATCCACTACATACCTGCGGCTTGTGTCATATGTTTATGTTTATGATCCATGGGTTGAATGAGAGCGGTTGTGTTAGGTGGCATAAAAACCACTCTAACGTCTTGATGAAGGTCGTCCAGATGAAGGGGGTGGCCAGAGGCATTGTCCATAACCAATAAAATCTAGAAAGGGATACCTCTCTTCGCACAATATCACGAGCCTGGGGATTGAAGCAGTTCATGAACCAGTCTTCGAACAATGCCTGAGTCATCCAAGCCTTAAGGTTTGAACAGTAGTAAATGGGAAGTGTGTGCTTGTTGATGTGCTTAAATGCATGAAAGTTTTCTGAATGATAAATGAGAACAGTCTTCAGCTTAAAACCCGCGGCATTCCCACCAAGCAACAAAGTCAACCGATCCTTAAAAGCTTTGAATCCTGGCATCTTTTTTGCTTCTTTGTACGATTAGGCATGTGTTTCCATTGCAAGCCGGTTTCATCTACTTTGAATATTTGTTCTTGTAGATAACCTTCTTTGATTACACCATAGAAACTATCAGCAAATTTTTGGGCTCCATCTTCATCTGCAGTTCCTGATTCCCCTGTGACATGTACATTATGCAAAGTAAATATTTTTTTAAAACGCTTAAACCACCCAGTACTAGCCTGAAAATCTTCTGTGTAATCGTCCCCGGTGCGTGATTTTGAACTCTGAAACAGACTTCTAGCCTTGGCTTGCACTGTGTGAAGGCTGATGGTTGTACTTTTTTGTATTAAATCTTCCATCCACATAAACAATTTCTCCATTTCATGGATGGGTCTCTGTCATTGTTTGGTTAAAATTGTAGACGTCATAGGTGCAGATAATAACAAAGTTTCCCGAATTCTTTGTCCTTAAGTATCGTCAGTACCGTGGAATGTGATAACTTCAAGTCACGTGCTATCGTGTTCACTTTCTTTGTGCTTCCATACTGCTTGATAACTTTCATTTTACCCTCAAAATCAATAGTTTTCCTTGACTTCTTAGCTGGCGTGTCTGTGTATGAAGGCATTTTCCTTTTACTAGACATTTTATGGGTAGTATTTCAGTAGAATATTAATTAATACACCACTGACAGCAGATGCTTGAAAGCAACTGAGTGTATGTGAGAGAGAGGGGATGCTGCCTGTGTGTGTGTGTGTGTGTGTGAGGCTTGTGTTGCCGGATGCTCCCATAGTTACCATACACACAGCTGCCTAGCTGTGTCCTCAGGCCTGCTGGTATCGATGNGGGGGGGGTTGTAAGTGCGGGCAGTCGTAAGTCGACGACCAAGTGTATTTTTAATATATAGATGAAAATTATCATATTTCATTATTTCTGTTGTAGATATTCCGGGATTGATTCCTGGACCCTCAGGACTGCATAACAATAGTCAAGATGCCAACTTTGGTGAGTTGTCAAATATGATAATTTTGTAGAAAGTAGTTCTGACAGTTGTAGACACAGTGTGCAAGATAAGACGAGTGGATAACATTCTTGGAAGTTAACATTATGTTTGTATTTTATTTGTCAAAGTATATTATGCAGCCATAACATTGGTTTCAAAGAAACCTCGCTATTGGGTTATGTGTATATTACTATGTTTGAAATGGAACTTAGAAAATTTTGAAAATTCATTCCACATGATTTTATAAAGATGACTGTTTTATCATGCATTGACTGTTGTTACCATCATCCTTTTCTTCTTTTTCTCCAGTTGTTGGTATTCAACAGTTGTGTATAGTAATCAGTGTTTATAGGTGAGTTCTAATTATATGCTACAGTTGCATTGCCCTATATCCCATTACAAAGTTTAGTCTGGTACAAATCCGTTGCCAATAATACTCTTACAAATGAGATTTTAGAACTGAGGAAATAACTTTTATGGTGTCATACATTAACATTTCAGGTAAGCTGATTAAAAGTGAATATGTTAAGGCATACAAAAATACATTAAACTGTTTTATGTGAATTATGCCACAGCTTTTAATTTTGTGAATTTAAAAAAGTGAAGTACACCATAGGCTGACTGCAGAATGAGCATGTGTGTTTGGGGGGCAGACTTGCTTTACTGGCATCCCTTGTCGTTAAAAGTTCTGATACTGCTTACCAAAAACTATGAATATGTGAGGGAGAACATATAGGATTAACCACTCAGGTGATGTTATGTAAGCTGAAAGTATAACCTCGTTGCTCAGAGAATTGTTTGTGGAGGTTATTTGAGTAGGAAGGAAGTATAAAGTTATTCCAGGGAAATGTTACACAGATAATTTAAAAGAAAAGCACAGCTTAGCAGCAGTATCTGTCAATAGCAAACCATCATTTCGGACAGTGATGGTCAGTTTGGAAGGAAATGGTTGTGTGTAATTGAGTTAGTCTCCTGACATTTGCTTTGAAGCACTAAGTAAAGCCATGAAAACCCCCATCATGATTACCAGTATCCCACCTGAGGTTCAAACCAAACACCTCCTGAATCCAGGTCTAGATCAATACCTCTTAAGCCAACCTGTTCAGTGTTTCCTTGTCGAGAAGTGTCTCTGTCCCTTGGAAGTTTGCAGATACTGACACAGGAATCACATGGAAACAAAGTTTTTGAAAGTTTTGTACAATTTAATGTATAATGATGTGAAACGGCTAGTATGGCCCCCTACAAATAATGAATTGACTGCATATAAAAAGATCTTTAAAAATGAAATATGTTAGGCCTTTGCATGCAGGACTCAAATGGAGGAAAAAACATCATTAAATAACTGTCATCCCCTATACATGAAGGAATACCACAGTGTTATGTAAGTTATGGCATCATCTAAGATGTCATGTAGCCCACCTATAAGATGGAATGTTCAGTGCATTTTGTTGTAACATGAACATTCCTGCAGATTGTTTAGAATGGTATGGGGACATCACACTGGTTACAAACAAATGCTGGGTCACCTCATAACAATGACCATGTGTAAGACAGATATGACTAACGCAGCGCCATGTGACAGCATCCTCAGCCCTGATGGAGCTGTCAGAGGAATGCCATGTGTGCACAGACAGTTTCACCACTCATAGTTTGTTCCCCACTCTCTGTGCCCATCCATCTTGCTGTGATGACAAAGCAGCACAAAGAAGAAAGGTGTGAACATCACTACTTAAGGCTTTGTCTGATGTTAAATTTTCAAGCACAGTGGCTTTTCCAGCAGTTACATCAGCAACCTCATTCGCTGGGACACCCATGTGGCCAGGTATCCAACAAAATACAGCAGAATTCCCTGCCTTATGGAGATGGGACACTTTCTATACATTGGCTTGCCATATTTGCTTTAAAACTGCCACAGGTGATGAGGTCAGCATGATGTTAATCACTTACATAGTATTTTCGTGTCAATTGATGGCATCATGTTTGATATGCTGATGTTTGGAGAAGAGAACAGGTTTTAAGCTGTCTGCACCTGTAGGTGTTTGCAAGCAATATGAGGATGCATTGTGGGATTTTCTGTGCAACTGCCTTGCCATATCAAGCAGGTAGTTGTGTCATGGGGGTTGGCAATCACGGGGTTCATTTGCAGGCTTTGATTGGCCGAGGACAGATACCAAGGCTTTAGCTCTGGGATCATACAGTGATTAGCATTGAATGATTTATAAGATATGCCTATTTTAAATGTTCTGGATGTGTTTTCTCATATAAAAGAACTATTCCACAGGATTTGTCTTGCACACAGTAGTGTATTATTTGGATGTAGTTAGTGTGAGCAAAACTAGCCACAGCAGTTCTATTTTTATTATGTTCCACACAATCTACCCTACAAACCATGATACATCTTACCTCTTGTAGGCTGGGTTTGTGGAATAAAAACTGCATGCAAGTATGTTTGAATTTTCTGCTGGTGTAATGAATACGGAAGTGTGTTGAAAATAGAATATGGTAACTTTATAATGATGACACAGCTGTCCACATCATTGGCAGTGACACCCTCTTGTTCCCATAGCAGATGTAGTATAACGCATAGGACTGGTGTAAGTAACTTTATTACTTTTCATTGTGCAAATTAACATTATTGATATAAACACCCAGCTTTTTAAAATTAATTTAGCTTGCCACTGAGATTTAAAAGCTATTTATCAGTTTATTTTGAACTTCATATTTTATGAAATAAAATTGTGTACTTCAGAATTTTATGAAATTTATCATTAATTTCATAAAAAATATCAGCATAGGTTTGGCCCATCCCTGATTTTAATGTAATTATGAAGGTTTGTGGCAATGGTGTGTTACCATGATGATGGATTCTCCACTCTCTGGAGCCGACATACCTACAAAGTTTTTTAGGCTGGTTATCTTCAGGTAAGAAAACAACAAGAGAGGAAGTACCTGCTGAGTCAGGCCTCTTCCACAAAGTGAATCATTGTTAGTGGTTCCAGTAACTGCTTTTGCCTGAAGGTGGAGATAGCCAGCCTCTGAAATGTTGTAGACATAATCTGATAATGCAGTGTCCAGGGAATGTCTTTGTTTCTCTCCTCCCCAAGACATCTTGATGAGATATTTTTAGATTGTGTTCTGGGTTATGACACCATGTAGTCTCATGGGTGGTTGCCAGTGTTTGGAAGAGTCTGTTGTCACCATTTTCAAGGAACTTCAACTCGGATGGTGAGAGATTCCATTGAAAGTCTGCTTGACACTGTTGGTGTCATAACCCAGAAACCACAATCCAGATTTTCACTACAGAATCTCATATCTCATCATATGAGACATATTTCTGGTTTTTTTTTTATTGCTAGTGGAGTGGGACTAAGTCCCTTGTACTGTGACCACTTCTGGCCTATTGTACCAGCCCCAGATGATAGGTGAGGGTGATTGTGGAGAAATTGGTAGAATGAAGATTGGTAGGGGAAACCGAAGTACTCGGAGAAAACCTGCCCCAGCGCCACTTTGTCCACCACAAATCCCACTTGACGAGACCTGGGATCAAACCTGGGTTGCCATGGTGAGAAGCCAGCAACTAACCAGTTGAGCTATGGTGCGGCCATTCTGGGTTGGTTTGGTGTTCATCCTGCCTTTTGGATGTTATCTTCAGATCAGATAGAAATAAGTATATCCATTGAGATGCTGTGGCTTGCAGATATGAGAAATCTGAACAACTGAAATTTTGCTTAACAAAAAGCCTGAAAGGAAAAGTAACAGTATTTGCATCCATTATATATTGTGAAAGTGTAGAAAAACACAGAAGCCAAATTCTCTTACTCTCTGTAGTTGGAATCAGTCAGTCCCGCAGAGATGTGTCTTGATGACGAACACCTGTGGCCAGTTTTGTTCGCTTTAAATTATTGCTCTCATTAAACTGTTACATTTTCTACATTTCTGAACCTGGTAAGTGAATTTATTAGCTTCCCAACCATCTTTTTGTTGCATCTAAGCTGCTAGTTTTTTCTTGCTCAAGGATGGTGATTATGAAATAATTGATGATGCATGACAAAAACTGAGTAACCTACTAGCTGTATTAACTAATACCTTGAAGTAGGTTATTAGTAATAGTTAACAAAGACTTTATTTTAATGTTTATTACAAAGAAACTAACTGGAGAAATGTTAATATGTTGTGAAATGCATACCGTTGCCAAAAAAAGATTTAACGCTTGAGGCTTTCATACGAAGAAACATTAATGGTAATTTTATGGGATCATGTAGGTATTCAGTATTAGTTTACAGGTTGAAGTTTTTGTATTTGTAAGACAGATTAGTTTAATGAGAAGTGATAATGCCCTGTAATTAAAATAATGTTATTTTGTTGATGAAAATTAGGCTAAAATTATTATTATGATTGGTGTGAACTGGACATATGAAACACATGTTAATTGGAGCTTTTTCAGTCATTTATGCCGTCCATATGCTCCATAGTAATGTGAAAATTAAGGTCTGTAATCTTGAAAAATTACTGTTTTGTTCATCCAAGACGGTCCTCTGACACAGGGTTGAGAAACAGTAGCTTTGTATTGGTGAAAAGGTTTTATGACATGTAGGTTGTTGTAAGAGATTTAGTAATTACCGGTAAGTGATAAGAGGTGCCCAAGTTTATGTTACTGGAACAGTCGTTTTGTCCGTGCTGCTTCAGATTTCGAGAATGTTTTGCATGGTGTTCCTCTTTGTGCATCTTCAGGTCTTTACAAAAGAATAGTTATCTGTTAATTTCAGTTACTTGTCACATAACATGATAATCACTTCCTCAGTGAAATGCTGTAGGTAGCTTGCTGAATCTTTAAGTGTTTAACTGGGAGAAATTCTGTCATAGGGTGAATGAATACGTATTTGTGCTACTTTGTGTTACTTCTGTTAGCGGATGTGCGATTTATTTAGGTAATCTTGTATGTCTACTGTGACTGGCTGAATGCAGAATTGAAATACTTTTATTGGGTACGAGTATGTTTATT